TCTCTCTCTCTCTCTCTCTCTCTCTCTCTCTCTCTCTCTCTCTCTCTCTCTCTCTCTCTCTCTCTCTAGCATTTACCAAGGGCGAGGGTTATCGTTATCGGTCGGAGCGCGCGGATCAGGAATGAAGCCGACGTAACCATCGTTCTGCGGGTTAGGCCACCTCATGCGCATCGCCTCCTTGAAGTCTGAAGTAGGTGAACGATTACCAAAATGTGCCTTTGTACTTAGTAATTTCGCCGGCAGTCTTTGACGGTGATTGTAACCGCAGAGATTCGCGAACTCCCTGTACCCTGCGAATCTGTTAGCCGCCGCGTCCAGTCGATCGTTTCCCACGAGGATATGCAAAAACTGGTCATTGCGGTCCTCCTGACCGACAATCTGTACCACGGTTTCAACCAAAAACGCAGGATGCGGCCATGCTGCTTGTATTTGATCCCCGTTCATTTGCAGGGGAGGAGGTCGTGGGCGACGTGCCGCAACGTCTGCTGGCCCAAGCCCGGGGCCCCCTCGACCGCACACAACTCTATGTCTTGGTCGACGGCCGTATACCATGTCCCCATCATCTTCGTTGTTGGGTGCTTGAGGTTGTGCCTGCTCCATTATAGTGTCGCGTCGTGAGTATCTGCAACAAATGCGGTGGAAGTTAGTGTCGGACAAATGGTAGAGCTAAACGTAAGCGGGATGGCAAGCACAAATGGTACAGCTAACTCGACCCTTTCGCAATACGGATAGTGAGAACTTACATGAACCGAAAAAAAAAACAGTCGGCCGTAGGACCAGAGGGGATTGAGAACAAAAAAAAAACAGTAGTTGAAAGGAAGGACGGATCGAAAACAAATAAAAAAAAATTTAAAAATCGTTTTTGTTATTTCTGACCACTACGCTTTTAACTAGATCCACGAGTCCAAGTTCGAGGGCCCGGGACAACGACCGAACTGTCTTTGCTTCTTCAACTTTTGAGAAGTTTGTCTTTCACAGCCAGCAGAGTTATGATCCTCGTCAGGTCCCGAAACCCGACACGACACGGAAACATACGACCCAGAGTTGTCCCGGGATGTACAGACTGAGTCGGGCGTCTGGGTCGTGCTTCCTGATAGGGAGGTCACAGCTTGTGGCAAAGAGAAACCGAGTTCGACTTCAGTACCGCCATGAATGTCGCGGTCCGAAACAAGGAACGGAGTCGAAGGTTTAGGGGAATCGACAGGAGGCTTGCCCTCCTTTCACAGCAAACGTTGCTCACGGATTATGCAAAGAGCCTCCCGATTATCCAATTCCATTTTTTTTTCCTGCTAGGACGACACAATTGTTTGCACCCGGGAATACGATGTCGACAACACAGCACGTGCGTTGTTCAGGTCGTTTGTCACCGTCTCAATATGCTTATCTATGTCGTCGAGGTCATATTTGTCTTCATTGCCTTCTAGATGTGACTGGTCGAGGCCGTCCGTTATGCATGGTGGCAGACGGCGCATACGTTCACAGACCGAAACCTTTTTTCGGTCATCATGAGGATTCATGACACCGCCACAGAATGAGCGACGTGATATCTGGAAACACAAAACAAGAAACAAGAGTCTGCAACACATCACACATTATGGGTCGAGGATGACGTCGCATAGCGTTCATGCACGTTATATATATATATATATAATATATATATCACAACCCCTCGTTTGTTGTCCTCTTCTCTCTCTCTGCCTACGGTTTACCGGGCAGTTCTATTTGTGACGATGTATATATATAATATATATATATATCGTATATATATATATATATATATATATATATATATATATATACATATATTTATATATATATATACACAGGGTCACCAGCCCGTACG